TGGGGGGGGGGGTGGGGGGGGCGTACTCTGATGTTTGCATGCCCTAGCGGTTAGACCCTTGACCACGAGTCCTCGAAAGGCCGGAGTATTGTTCCCACAGGATCGATCACCGATGGCCATTCGTTCCATCTTACTTTGCCAAAGGTGCCTCAAAAATGTTTTCCCTAGCCTATCTGTCCATCAATATCACTTCCCGCCTTCTTGACCTACTTCCGATGTCCCAGTACAGCTACCGTCTTCTCCTGGCTATTCCATGTCTCAAACATCTCTATGTATCTCCCTTCCACTTTTCCCAGCTTAGTCATGTGCGCTTCCCTCTCCTTTTTGTACAACCGACATCCGCAACTACATGAACCTGGTCTTCGCACTCGGAGCCGCAATCACAATTGAACTTGTCGTCTGCATCGTCTACCTTGCGAAATCTCCGTCTACGTTCTTGAAGTCCAATGTCCCCGGTCCTGAATTTGACCTTCAGCTTTGTCCCTGCACCCATTGGTCCATGTAGGTGCTCCTTGAACCCTATTCCTTCTTCGAATATTGCGTACACACCTAGGCCCTCCTTATCCTTGGTTTTTTTGTTAGATTCTGTTCGTCTCTCTCGGCACAAGCAACAGATATCTTCTCCGTCAACCCTTCTAGACCTTCCGTTTCCAGCGTCCCACCTTCGTCAATTTCGAACCGTTTCCATACGTCATCTACACCCTTGACCTACTCCATGGGTTGTCAAACCCTCTTCTTGTTTGCCCACTTCGCCTCCCAACCTATTCTCGGCAAGCTCTCCTCGCCCATACCGCACATGCGGTACTGCCATTGTAGCTTCCTTGCGTCTCTCCCCGATCGTAGCGAATGGATCACCAGTGCGGCCGCAGTACTTGTCCGCTTGGAGAATCTCAGGATGATTTTCGCTGCTTTCATCTGCACCGCCTCAACCTCTTTGACTACCTTCTTCTTTCCGTCCCATACTTCTACGGCGTACTCTAGCGGCGGTAAGATTGCGCTCTTCAAAATCGCCGATTTGATGCGGTGCAGGTTTGCGGGTATTGGGTGCAGCTTCCCTGCTCGTGCTTTGTCCTTTTCCGTTACCCTGGACATGTGCGCATTATGCCATTTATATTCCGAGATGTGCTTACTGATCCACTACTGCAACCTCCTCGACCCCCCCCCGCTTCCATCTATACTCTACTGGTGTCTCCAGAGAGGGCGGGGGATGAAATTCTCTAAAGCGGCGAAGAAGTAACACGGATAGATAGCCGGACACAACGATGCCTGGTCCATCTTGTCGGCAATTGTTAGCGTCGTTGACCTTTAGCTGTTGCTCATGCGAAGACCAAAACGTACGCCCCAGAAAACGACGAACGACTCAACCACTCACGTTCTCGCCCAACCGGCACAAATACAGACAGTCAGGGTCCCCCAAATTCCGCGGTGCGGTGACCCTTAATACCCGGTTCCCGCACTTTCCCAGACGGCACTATTCAGGACATAAACCAACACCCGTCTTTTCCCCCCGTTTCCTTTTTATCTTCCCGTTGGAGCAGATAAGGAGTTGCCGTCAGTATCCTACTCTCCGTCGTAAACGGAAGGGGTCGTTCCACCACCGAGCGACTGGAATACCGTACCACACACCACCACATACCTGATCCATCTTCCCCTGGGCGTAGAGGAGAACCGCGAGCACGTTCATCTCCGTGATCACCGAGGGGTCCTCCTCCCCGCCCTTCAACTTCTTGTCCATGTCCACGACCCTGAAAAAACAGTGAAAACGACCGCGGTAACGCCCACGACAAAACAAGGAAAAAATAATTCGACACCGCGTGAGCGAAAAAAACGAAGATGTGTTAGATACTTTGTTGTACCGTTTGTTTAGTGCGTTGTTGTGACACGCGAGGCTCTGTTCAAGACATGAACACCTGCAGAGAACAAAAAGTAACAAACAAAAGGAGAGATTCGGTGGAGGCGGAGCCGCTGGTGTCGTAAAAGCGAAATCGAAGTAGCTCTTTGATGCAGAGTATCTTCTTTGCGACGAGATAACCTTCATTTTCTCTCCGCCCCGATTGTCAATACGTGAAAACGCTGTGTCATCGCTGAGGGCGATTGCGCCAAAAAAATGGTGTCATCACTCAATCATTCCTTGAACAACAAATCCACAACGTGCTACCGGCCGTGGCTGTTGCTGTTGCAACCAACACTTCGTGTGCGTACGACCGCCAACATACTCTGCTCTCTCTCTCTCTCACTGCTCTCCCTCACTTTCGGTACATGCTCTCCCCCTTGTCGTAGTGCCCTTGCCGACAGTAAACCATGCCCAGAGACCGCATGTCTTCGATGATATCCGCCGGGGTTTCCTCATGCTGCCGATGATACCCGGGAAGGGAACGGGAAGGGAAGGGAAGGGAAGGGAAGGGAAGGGAAGGGAAGGGAAGGGAAGGGAAGGGAAGGGAAGGGAAGGGAAGGGAAGGGAAGGGAAGGGAAGGGAAGGGAAGGGAAGGGAAGGGAAGGGAAGGGAAGGGAAGGGAAGGGAAGGGAAGGGAAGGGAAGGGGACGAGGCCGAACAAAAGGAAACGGAAAGGTGGCACGGAACGGAAAGAAACGAAGAACGGAATGAAACGGATGAGTACGAGGAAGATGGCAATTTTGCGTCGGTTTGTCGCGCGTTCACAGGCGGCAGCAACCACAAAACACGAGCCATCAACAGAGGAAGCCACAAGTCAACAGAGGCACCCACAAGCAAGCATGATCCGCCGTCTTGCACTGCACGAGATTGGCAACAGCAACGACAACAAGGAAGGATGCAGGCCTCACTCACTCTGGTGTCGATGGTCAACGCCTTGTCGAACGCATCCCCGGCGTCTTTCAGCGCGTTCACCTCGAACAGAACACGCCCGATGGCCCGCAGAATCCTGCCAAACCAAAAACAAAATGTGAGTGCCACCAGCAGAGGGGGGTGAATCGGCATTGTCGCCGAAAACTAGCAGACAAAAAATCAAGCTGCGTGAGCTGGACCAAGCAAGCGTGAACGAAGGACAGTAAATCAGAACCTTTGAGACAAAACACACCGACACACTCCTAGCTCTTACAGAGAGCGTGGTCGTGTTGTTTATCCCTCAAAAACACTGCGGGTGGCGGTTTTGGTGTCAGTCAGGCGATTGCCGCCGTCGAGGTGCCACCCCAAAACGGCAAAAAACACAACAAAATATCCGTGGATCGTATGTTATGGGGCAATTAGACGCGTTATCCGTGTGTAGCCTCATTGAGATTGGCGTCTTTTGATTGGTCAGTCGGATCGCGCTGTCGATGCTAACTAAACGCGACACACACACACACGAGTGCGCCAGGTCCTGGCCTTCCGAAATAATTTTTTATTTCGACCGCGCTGAGACTGACATATTTTCATTGTTCACACCGTCAGTACGAACTCGCGACGTGTTCAAACGCCGCGGGATGTACTGCTTTGACCAAATTCCACCAAAAGTCATCTACTAGGTTGGGGCTTCAGCAATGTGGACAAGGACGATGATAGTGACAATGAAGGGGAATTCATTTTGGTAGCGACGAAGGAGGAGGAAAGGGAACGGGAGGACAATGGAACGACCAAAACAGCAATGGAGGAGGAAAACATGGAGTGGAAGAGAGCAAGAGCTCCGAGCCAGATGACCTTCCTCACAACAAACGGTGAAGGGCTAGGCTAGAGAAGAACTGCCGCAAAGTAGCTGCAATGATGGCGACGAGAGTGATGGTGGCGAGGAGGATGAGGGTGAAAGCACTCCAAAACGAAATTGAGTGCAAGGTAGCGGCCTTGATAGAAAAGTGCAGTTTTCTTCTGTTGCTACCGGATCTGGCTTTAATGCGGAGAAGAGCTTAGCCTCCCCCATGCCGCCCGCTCATGGGGTCCCAGTTCATGGCACTTACAAGTACTTTGTGTTTTCAACCGCACTGAGACTGACGTCTTTTCATTGGTCAGACGGTTAGCGCGGTCGATGATAATAACAAAGACACACGCACGCAGGGGTCCGACGTCATGGCTTCTAGAAACGTATTCTGATTTCAACCGCGAATCATTCTCATTGGATGTAGCGCGGTCGATGTCAACCAACAAAACACGCATGGCTTACCCTGCGATCTCCGGGTGATCCCTCCCCAAAGACCTCTCCTTCATCACCAGCGCCTTCTTGAGCAGCTGCTCCGCCTGCCCGTAGCTCTGCTTCTTGGACAGGTAGCGCCCGAACCTGTCCGAGTGGTCAGCCACCTCCTTCGAGTTAGGCCCGTACACCCGCTTGGAGACGCTCAGCAACTCCCACATCAGGTCCTCGACGTCCTCGCCCTGTTAAGAGCGAGCACGGAGGGGGTTCGGAGAGGCACAAAACACGTCAAATTTGGGTCGAGCCTCAATTATTTCTTGTCGAGTACAGGCCATGATACGGTAGGATTTGGTGTGAGATGCTCGTCTCCGTAGCTGGTTGGGTTTCATAGACCCTACCATTTTGCTTTATGGTTCGTTGGCAAAGCGACGTGTATGCATCATGCACACATACAGTGAGCATATCTTCCTCCCGACCAAAAGAAAACGACGCCCATTAAAAAAAAAACGCACAGACACACTGCCTTTCTCCTCCCCCCAGCATTTAGGATGCAGCGCACCCTCCACCACGCGACTCGCCGAATGCCTCGCGCCGCTTCGCGCTCGGTGATGTGAGGGCCCGGTCCGGTGAGAACCCGGCGTGCGAGGTCAATGGCCTAACGACTACGGCATGCACGGCCATAAGAACACCCCCAGCAAACAACCCAGAAAGTTCTTACTCACAGTAGCAGAAAACGAACTTGCTTCTCTTTTATTTTATTTGTTTCGAACCTGGTGCTCCCGGATGTCCATGTACTCGCTCACGCACTCCGCTAGCTCCTGGTCCAACAGCTTCTTGTCTTCCGGTGACAGTTGCCTCCCTCCCCCTCCCCCCGTCTTGCCGTAGGCATGCAGCCCCTTCGTCCACCCGTCGTACTCCGCCTCCGCTTCCGTGTACCGCTCCGGACCTGCGTCTCGAAGGAACCTCGCCAGCCGACCTGCACGCAAAAAAAAACAAAAACAATTCGGGGTGGGGGGGGGCGCGTAGTCATGTCGTAGTTGTTAGACCGTTGACCACGCGTCCTGGAGAGGACGGAGCATTGTT